AGGTTTCAAGCGATGATGACAACGAATTTGGACTTGTCATCAAGAAGTTCCACAAGTTCATGAAGAAGGAATTTGAGCGGAAGGGAAGGAAGCACGACGGTCCTCCCAAGTGCTACGGCTGTGGCGAGATTGGCCACATCAAGCCAAGGTGTCCAAAAGCTAAACACGGCAAGGATAAGCCCGGCTTCAAGAAGCAAAGGGCTTACATCTCTTGGGGTGGCGATTCCGGCGACGAATCAACTGACCAAGAGGAGGACGAAGCTGCAAATCTCTGCCTCATGGCGCACGAAGATCAAAACGACGACGTCCAAGAGGTATGTACCATTTCTTCCAACTCCTATACTTTTGAAGAAATGCAAGAAGCACTTCATGAACTTTATGAGGAATTTGTTAGCGCTTCTAAAACAAATAAATCTTTGAAGAAACGTCTTTCCTCACTTGAAAACGATTTTGAAAAATTGGAAAAAGAAAATGAAATACTTAAACAAGAAAAAAAAATTTTGGAAAAAGAAGCGCTGACAAACCAGAAAGCTCATCAAGTGAATGTGGGTCTTGTAAAACTTTAAAAGAGCAAGTCGCTAAACTTGAGAGCACGGTCAAGAAATTTAATACTCCTCACAAAGACTTAAATTTACTTCTTGACACTATGCATTTTTCTAAGGAAGGAATAGGTTTTGATAAAAATAAAGCTAAAGATAGTGTTGAGCCACCACCTAGACAATCATCTAAGGTTCAACATAAGAAACCTAAAAATCAAGATAATAGAAAACCTAATCAACCTAAGGACACTAGACAACCTAGACTAAAACCTAGGAATGAAAATGGTCATGGTAGACAACCTAAGAAAAATGATTTTGTGCATAAAAATGAATTTTCTCAAATTAGAAGAAATAATGCTAGAGAACCTAGAAAAGGCCAGTTTCAAAATTTCCAAAAACCATCGTTTTCACAAAATAGGAACAAAATGGTTAAGCCTTCGAACTATTATGAACCTAGGCATATGTACAACCTCAATGTAGTTTGCCATTATTGTAATAAGATAGGCCATATTGCTCCCGTTTGCTACACTAGGCATAGGCACCTATCACAAAATCAAGCACACTACCATCACACACCTAACACCCGAAGACCCAACATAAATTGGGTACCTAAAACTCATTGATGTGTTTCATAGGTGTGCTTGAAGGCATCAAGTGTACTTTGGTACCTTGATAGTGGATGCTCCAAGCACATGACCGGGGATGCATCCAAGTTTCTCCAAATCAAACCCGCTAAAGGAGGAAACGTAGTTTTTGGAGATAATAGCAAGGGAAAGATCATCGGCGTTGGTTCAGTAGGTAATTCTGAAAACTCCTCTATAGATAATGTCTTGCTTGTTAAAGGTCTTAAACACAATCTCTTGAGCATAAGTCAATTATGTGACGAGGGAAACCGTGTGACCTTCGATTCAAAATCATGCACGGTAGAACGCCTTAGTGACAATAAGGTCATTCTACGTGGTGATAGAATCGATAACATTTATATGGTTAACTTAGACAAATCTCCCTCCGGCTTTGCTAAGTGCCTCATGAGTAAAGAGGAAGACACTTGGTTATGGCACCGAAGGGTAGCTCATATGAACATGAACCTTTTGAACAAATTGGTTTCACAAGACTTAGTAATTGGCATTCCAAAACTTAAGTTTGAAAAAGACACCATATGTGATGCGTGTCAAAAGGGGAAGCAAGTTCGGGCCTCGTTTAAGTCTAAGAACGTTGTTTCAACGTCTAGACCGCTTCAACTTTTGCACATGGATCTCTTTGGTCCTTCTAGAACGAAAAGTTTTGGTGGCAACTACTTTGCGTTTGTGATTGTCGATGACTACTCTAGGTTTACATGGACCTTGTTTCTTACTCATAAAAGTGAAGCATTTCATGTTTTCAAAAATTTTCTAAAGAAAGTTCAAAATGAAAAAGAAACAACCATAGTAGCCATAAGAAGCGACCATGGGGGAGAGTTCGAACGAAATCTGTTTTCAGATTTGTGTGACGAACTTGGCATTGATCATAACTTCTCAGCCCCACG